TATTGTTTATAGGCCAATCTTATACATTAACACTAGGATTACCTAATGGGTCAAAATAACTTGTTTCTAATTTCTTTTTCAACAATTATCGAAATCATAGACACATTTCCATGAGGAACTTCTTAACTGCGTACATAATAAAAATCGTACTAAAATTGAATAAATATCGTTATTACTAGCGTACGAATTTTATGTATTTATGACAAAAATGAGTATACGAAATATAAAACAGTAAGTTGTTTTATTTAAGAGAATTTAGAAACATCTCTATATTATCATCAACTTCCCTAAAATTGTTTTTAAAAAAGAAAATTTTTGCCTGGCTACAATTGATAAAGAATTCTGCTGCAATTCGCGAAGAAAATTTGTATTCTTGCATATTCATATGTAATTATTATCAAGCAACGTATGTCGGTCGCGTTTGGTGCTTCAGAAATCTAGTATTAAATTCGTCAAAAAGGCACAAACTTATGTAAAACATAGGAGAATAGAAGAATGTCTCAACTTTTACATGAAGCAACCAAAAATTTAGTACATTTAACATTTCTACAGCTGTTCATTAAATCTCCCAATACATGACAGAAAACGACTATATATATTATTATCAAGCAACGTATATCAGTCGCGTTTGGTGCTTCAGAAATCTAATATTAAATTCGTCAAAAAGGCACAAACTTACGTAAAACATAGGAGAATAGAAGAACGTCTCAACTTTTACACGAAGCAACCAAAAATTTAGTACATTTAACATTATTTTTCAATAAATCTCCCAATACATGATAGGAAACGACTATAGTTCAAAAATTCTTGAACTACCTGGGACCATCAGAACGGTGAACCACAGATTCGATCTCCCCTCATTTCTGTCTCGCCGGTCGTAGTTTTCGGTTTGTTTACGACGCGATGTGACCGGGTGGGATTAGAGTGCATCACCGCGGCCATCTTGGAATGCACGATTGTGAAACTTACACCTTTGATGGCGTTATTCCTCTTCCTGTAGCCATTCATGAAGCCGGTTCTAGCAACCTCGACCTTTAGCAGCCGAGTATTTATGTTCACAAATGAAACAGGTAGATGGCAAATGTATCGGAGTTCTCCGCGAAGTAAAACAAGAGTCGACTATTACTTATCGCGCTGCAATTATGCAATCGACACTCTGTTGTCGAAACGCTTAGCATACACCGCCACTCTGAGACGCAGACCACCGGTAACGGGTTCCCTGTCGCATTTTTCTTTTTCAATGAAATCCACGAAGACGTCGGACCGTTAGTTTCGAGTAGCCACTTCTACTAGCTGTGTACGTTGCGTTGATTATAAGAAAACGATAAATGACCGCAAACGATGTGCCACGAATTCTTAGCGGTTTGTCTTTCAATGGTCATTCGATTGTCCCGTAAAAGTCATTTATATTGCTTTTCGTTCGTTTAAACGTTCGCGTAACTCTTCCACCGTGTTTTGTATTCTTTTTATGTGACACAGACCGTGTACTAGAATTATAAAACATTTTACTTATCACACACACACACCTTACTGAACTTAAACTTAGTGACTTTGCTTATTTTTAAAAGACACGTTTCTACTTCCTTTCAGTAATTATTTTATCCTTGAATCTAATATTCTTGAAATTATGGAATGTCCATATCGTTCTAAATTGCAGTTTAATTCTGACAGCGTAGACCATTATAATATAAATTAGTAGAACAAGTTTGTTATCATAATAAAATTGACTGCGGCTATTATAACATACTTGCTCATTTAATTGTTATTTATGAGATAATTGCTATACTCGTTGTTAATATATGACAATCATTAAAAAGTTTATGAAAGACATACAGACACAGTGAACCAAAAAAGAACAAATTTTCTTGAATTATACAAAATTTAACGTTCTAATCAATCGTGATAGAAACTTTTTTAATTCGACAATAATTATAGGCCACTTTGTTGTGTCCTCTCTGAAAATTATGTATTGGA